CTATATTGGACTCACAGTTATTTTCCTGTTTATAGCCTCCCAAGAGCTGGAATTCCCGGTGCATGCCACCACACTCAGTCTCAATCGCCTTCTCAGCACGCCCCAGGGGACAGGGCTGGCACGGTACATGGGGGATTGAACCCTAGTCCCTGCATCTGTGTAAGCAGGCACTTTAATCCACTGAGCTATCTGCCTGGCTCTTACTTTTTCATTCTTTAACTTGGAGAAATTATACAAATGTAAAAGTGAATACATTCACATAAAAGGTATTTTATCACCCATAATTTTATTCCTATTTTATCATCTTTGCTTTATCATTTTTATGAGAAATTTAACAGCTTCATTTCCTCTTTCTTTTTCATCTTGCACTATAAGAACTCACAAATATTTTTAAATTTTCCTTTACATTTGAAACTGTAATCATAGACCTACTTTCTAAAACAGAGACCAAAGGTGTAGGGAAATCTTTCTTCAAAAAGTGAACCACCTACCTCTGATATCATTTCCTGTTTTGAAAAGTTGCCACTGAGTAAAGGAGAATCTAGAAGGGAGCAGAAGACTCTTCACCTTGCAGAGAGGAGCCACTGGCATGACACTGGCTAGCTTGCTGTGGGCTCTCCTGCTTCCCATCTGTCTTGGTAAGAAAGGAGTAGATGTTTAATCCTTATGATATCTAAGGGAGCTGTGATGCAGGAAAAAATCAATAGTTCAGAAGTTACACTAGTTTTAAGACCCCAGCTACCGGGAGGCAGAGGGCTGATACACACTGCCTGGGGTTTAAATGAAGAGAAAAGGCAGTGTGCATGGGAATCACCTTGTGAGTCTGTCTGGTCTGCCTCTGACTTGCTATCCCAGCTAAGTCCTCTCTTTCCTCTTTCCTACAGGAGTCGGTGTGGCCCAGAAAGTCACTCAGTCCCAACAAGAAATATCCATACAAGAGGCAGCTACAGCAACCCTGGATTGTACATATGACACTACAGACAGTAATTATTATTTGTTCTGGTACAAGCAACTTCGGAGAGGGCAGATGATTTTCATTATTCGCCAAGAGGCTTATAAGCAGCAGAACGCTACTGAGGCTCGCTTCTCTGTGAATTTCCAGAAAGCGACTAAGTCCTTCAGTCTCAAGATTTCAGGCTCAGAGCTGGCGGATGCTGCCATGTACTTCTGTGCTTTCACTTCACTCACAGTGATCCAAGCACCAAAGAGAGGCTGACAAAAACCTTAGACCTCAGCATCTGTGCAGGGATGTGGGGGAAGTGGCTACAGTAACAAGAATAAGAAAGCACTGACTTCTCTTGGTAATAAACGTTCTTCTTAGCCAACCATAAGAAACACAAGGAGGTAGACATCTGCAAGCCTTAATCCTTCAGGTGACAGTGAACATGCACAAGTGCAATATTTTCTTATTTTACAAAATGCCTTCACAGACCTGGGTCAAGTTTGAAAAAATCAGAATTAGAGGGCCGGGGAGTTGGCTCAGTGGAATAAGTGCTTCCTTGGCAAGCACAAGGGCCTGAGTTCAATCTCCGGTTCCGCAAAAAATAAAATAAAATAAAATAAAAAATCAAAATCAAAATCAAAATAAAAAAAAAATCCAAACCTAAACATAATTACAAAAAAAGAAAAAAATTCATAATCAAGAAACAGATCGAATTATAGACTGCTAGACAGTGTTAGATTGTTTAGTTGAATTCAAACACTTATAGTATTTAGATGCCAATAGAATATTCACCTCTGACAGACAACTTTAAAAAAATGATACAAAGGAATGATCATTTTGTATTTATATACACAAAATAGATGGATAAATTTACAGCTACTTTCACTTGATTCAAAGAGAAGAAAGAGGTGTACCAACAGTGTTTGGACAGAATATCCTGTCTGCTTCTTGTACTATGGATAACCACTAAGAAGATAACAATGTACAATGTACTGGTTATCAAAACTGTCCTACTAATCAGCTGTGAAACTGTCTCACTCATATTTATTTCTCAATAAAATTTTTTTTTAAAAAATGCCTTCACAGTTGCATTGGATTCTCAGAACTTTGCCTAGTACATGGTAGATCAAACGTCCTAAGTATGTTCTCTGTACAGGGAATCACTATAATTTCCATAAGCGATCTTAGCTCCCGGAGTTTTAATCTTTTCAATTCTGTCAATTGATATTTGTGCTTTTAAGTGTCTGTTCATATCAAAACTGAATCTCATCAGAACAGGGAGCTACTTTATAACACAGCACAGTGTAACTTCTAGTCTTTTGCATTTACTTATGCCTGCCTTATGGGCTAGCACATGGTCAGTTTTAGAGAAAGTTCTGCAAGCTGTTGAGAAAAATATATATTCTACTGTTGTTTGGTGGAACACTTTGTAAGTCCATTTTTTCAAGGTTTGGTTCAATTCTGTTATTTCTTTGCTGTTTTTTAACTTGTTGTTTTTTAACTCTAGCCAATCTACTTGTGACAGCGTGGTCTTTTTTTTTTTTTTTTTTTTTTTTTGGAACCAGGGATTGAACTCAGACCCTTGCGCTTGCCAGGGAAGCGCTTATTCCACTGAGGCTTGTCCCCCGCCAACAGTGTGGTCTTAAGGTCCTGCACTATAATTGTACATAATTATAATCTGATCTTTTTTATGTCAGTGTCTTTGTTTTATAAAGTTGGGTATGTCTATGTTTAGTGGACATAAGTTTTTAATTGTTATTTGTTTCTTATTACATCATTTCTTTAACCAATATATAATGACCTTCTTTGCTGCTTCTGTTCAGTTTTGGCTTAAAGTCCACTTTGTCTGAAAATAGGATAGCTATTCCTGTTTTATTTCTGGTTCCCTTTGCATGGAATAGTGTTTTCCTACCCTTTGATACTTTAGTCTATGAACATCTTTTTGAATTAAATATGATTTTTATGTACAGCATATCATTAGATCTTGCTTTTTGACCCATTCTGACGATCTGTCTTTTGATTTAGAAAATGAGAATTATTACTAAAAGGTACTGCTTTACTGCTGTCATCATGTTAGGAACCTGTTTCTGCTCTCCTCCCCTTAACTTTAACCCTACTGGGTACATTCATTCTATTGCATGTTTTGGCATTGTCAGCTTCATTACCTCCTTCCTAGATATTCTTGAGAATATCTTGGAGTGTTGCTTTGACAGTCATGAATTTCTTATGGTGCTCTTTGTCATAGAAAGACTTTATTTCTCCATCAGTTTGGAAAGATGATCTTATAGGATATACCTATCTGGGTTATAAATTATTTTCTTTCAGGGTTTGAAACCACTTCAAGCTTTCTTGGCCTTCAGTGTTTCATGTTGAGAAGTCTGGTGTAATTCTGATTTATTTACTTTTGTAAGTGATTTCTTGCTTTTCTCCAGCAGCTTTTAAGAATCAGTCCTTGTGTTGGACTTCTAGGATTTTGACTATGAGGTACTGTGGCAAGTTTCTTTTCTAAGCATGGCTAGTTGGGGTTTTATAGTCCTTGTTCAGCTGTGTATCAAATTATTTTTCATATTTCAAAAAGGTTTTACTATTATTTCTGTGAACAGGTTTTTAAGCCATTCATTTTGCCTTTGGATTTTTAACTAATATCACTTAATCTTGAATTCATCTTCTTTAGCAACTAGCAACTATTAGATCTGTTTTCCATATTCTCTTACTGTTTGGAGGGCATCTCTGTGTACAGAGTCACTGTCATCAGCTCTATATTCTAGTCCTAACACTTTGTCTTCACACTGGTCACTAATCCTGCTTATACTTTTAATAGAATGTTCCGTCTCCTGAATTTCTGTTTGGAACCTTTTATGAGCTCTAATTTTTTGCTACACTGATCATTCATGTTTTGTATCTATTTGGTTGGCTGAGCTAATTTTTTATTAGTATCTTCTGTATGCTCATGGATCTTTCTTTAAGTTCATTATCTGTTTAGTCATATTGTCTTTGAGCTTTGCCAAGCACCTTTTTAATCAGATGTTGGGAGGGTTCTGTCTCTTTTTTGGTTAACTCATATGATTCAGTTGCTTGTTTGGTTGTTGTTGTTGTTGTTGTTGTTGTTTATTTGTTTCTGCCACTAGAGATTAAACTTGCTACCTTGCACTTGCCAGGCAGGTGCTGATGCTGATGCTCTCCAGCCCTTGATTTTTTTTTTATTTCAACTCCATCAGTGCCCAATGATTCAGCTTTGGGGGAGTTGGGAGTTTAGGCTAAGTATTTTGTTGCATTTTCTCATGTTTCTTTGTGTGTGTGTGTGTGTGTGTGTGTGTGTGTGTGTGTGTGTGTTTTCTAATGCTTATGGGTTGGTTATAGTGCAAAGACATTATTGATAGTATGCAGACCTCTTCAGTTGATGTCTTCTTTCTATAAAGCACTTTGAGGGTAGCTAACTCTAGGACTTTTCCTCTGCCCTTTGATTAGATAACCTCTATTAATTTGGAAAGGTGGGGGTGCAGTGTAATTTACCCATCAATCCATTAACTGAAAGAAACTACAATATTGATGATACAAAGATAAGCAAGATATTAGCATACAGTAAAAACCAATTAAGAACAAAAATGGTGCCAGCCTGGAGATAGGAACAAAATAAAAAACAATAATGGAATCAAAAACAAACTAGAGGAACCTCAGGAACTTTGGTGAGCTGCTTAGCACTGGAAGGATTCTAGATGCAGTCACATAACCATATCAGGAGTGACACTGAGTCCCAGGGAACCACAGGAATTTTTTGAATATCAAAACAAAGGAGCAAAATGCAAGCTCAGATATCCACACACCCAGAACAAGCCCAGGAGACATAAACATAGAAAGAGTTCAGGAAGTCACATCTGCAGTTTCTAGAATGATAGCAACTGAAGTAAAAAAACAAACTCCATCAAGCTATAGAAGAAATTGGATCAAAAATAGTCTCTCAGGTAAGCATAAATAAATAACAACTATAATGAAAGAACTTCTCAGCATATCTAAAAGGGATATACATTTAAAAAAAAAATAGAGGAGCATAGAAAAATGATGGCAACCTAGATTGAACAACACAAGAAAGAACTGGAATGCATGAAACAGATTCAAACAGATATCCAAGAGCTTAAAAATTCCATTGAAAGCTGGAGAAATTGCTTAAATGACACTGAAGTTAAACTTTCAGACCTTGAAGACAGCATTGCAGCTAGCGATTGTGAAAGGAAAGGCCGGGGAGATAGCTCAGTTGAATAAGCGCTTGCCTGGTAAGCACAAGGGCCTGAGTTCAATCCCCAGTTCCGCCAAAAAATAAATAAATAAATAAATAAATAAATAACAAAGAACCAGGAAATAGCAATTCAAGAGTTTCAAGATTTCACTTTAAAATCAAAAACAAGACAAGTATGTACACTGTCACCATTTCTATTCAATAGAGTTCTGGAAACATTAGCCAGAGCAATTAGACAAGAGATAGAAATAAAAGGAATAAGGCCAGGAAAGGAATAAATGAAATTATCATCAGTTACACACCACAAGATACTTTACATAGAAGACCCTAAAAGCTCCACAAAAAGACTCCTAGAATTAATAAACAAATTCAGTAGCATAGCTTGATACAAAGCCAATACTCAAAAATCAATAGCACTCATTACACAAACAACAAACACGCTGGGATAGAAATTAGGGACTCTAAACCTTTCACAATAGCACCTAAAAAAAGAAATACTTAAAAATCAATGTAACAAAAGAAGTAAAAGAACTATACAGTGAAAATTACAGTGCTCAAAAAAGAGATTGAAGAGGATCTCAGAAAATGGCAAGATAGTCCTTGCTCATGGTCAGGAAGAACCAACATTGTGAAATGGCCATATTCCCAGAGTTATTATACAGACTCAAAACAACCCCAATTAAAATATCATCCGCATACCTCAGATATCTAGAGAAAACATTCCTAAAATTCACATGGAGCCAGAAGAGACCTACAGTAGCAAAAGGAACTCTGGGCAACAAAAGAAAGGCAGGAAGCATCACTATCCCTGACTTGAAATCATACTATAAGGATACTGTGGGAGGTTGGGGATTTGGCTCAGCAGTAGAATGCTTGCCTAGCAAGCTGGGAGCCCTGGGTTCCATCCTCAGCACCAAAAACAAAAAATAAACCTGCCCTAAAAAACAATTCAACCAAAAAATACAGTAAAATCAAAAGATACTGTGATAAAATCAGCA